CATGAAGTGGGGAAATCTATTTCTTCCCACTTAATCGGTCTCCTGGTGGTGACGTTGGACCTTGCAAAATTGGTTTCCACCAAAATAGTTTGATTGGAAATATCATATAATCTACATATAGGATTAAGAGTAGATAACAATTTGAAATAAATTCTATAAGATAAACTGATGAGTTCTGAACCAGGCGCATAATTATAACCATGTGTTTTAACATTTAATGTTAGAGCATCAAGTATATTTGCATCAGTAAGAGATAACTACAAATTAAGCTGAGTATTAAAGTAAACGGGATCATAGGACACCGTAGATTCTATCGAACCCATAAAAGACTGTCGAAAATTTAAATTTCTAGCATCACGAAGAGCAGATAAAAAAGTCTCAGGTAACCCTTTAAGGGTTAAAGGTTTAAAAGAAATTTGCACCATGCCAATATGCAGATAATTATACTGATTTTTATACAGATTAATATCACGCTCGTTTAGCAAATCAATAGTCTGTTCAGACAAATTTAAAACTAAAGATTGCTCAGTAGTTTTAATCAATTGTTTAGAAGATAGTTTATCAAACCAACCATAATCACAAAGAAGATAGCATCGTAAAGACAAAAGCAACTTGAGCCCAACAGAACATACACTGTTGCTCGGAGCCCACACAACAATAGAAACACTATTCATGAACAATAGATACACTGTTTAAGGACTCAGATAGTGGGACCCCTTTTACTATACATAGACTCCTTCTTCAGCCTGTCATATAAAGGAGCCAAATCTCGAGAAAGATTTTTATAGAAAGTGGATATGTAATTTAAAATTCCCAAAAATCTTTGCAGTTGAGTCCTATCGGTGATAACATCAGGAAACTTTGACGCAAAGTCAATAGCTCTTTGAATAGGGGTGACTTTCCCTTGACAAATCTGATGCCCTAAAAATCGAACATCTGTTTGGAATAAACTCATTTTTGATTTTGAGATAACCAAACCATTTGTATCACAATTTTCTTTAAAATATCAAGATGCTTGATATGCATTTAAGATGTTTTAGATAACACTAGAATATCATCAATGTAGACAATAATAAAATCCATATATGGATTAAAAATATCAAAGAGTCTCTTTGCAGAGTCAAAGAAAAAAATAAAGAACCTTGATATTGATGATAATATCAAAGAGTCTCTTTGTAAAATCATGCTAAATTCTGATTCAGGGAAATCAGAAACAGGATACAGCAGTCATGAGGAATCCTCCACAAGTGAAGATCTTAAAGCCCTTCACCAAGAAGATTATATGTCTTCGGATGATGATTGTTTGCCTTGTCAACAAGGGCTAAATTACGAAAATGAGGGGGAAGAAGTTGATCTTTATAAGATCTATTCCCAGTTCAAAGAATTGAGCATCAATACTATTGATAATGACAAAGTTATAGAGCTCTTACAAATTGTAAAAGATTCGAAAATAAAAGCTCAGATTATTGATAAAATCAGTAATACTTCCACCTCTAAAAATCATATTACAGAGGATATCCCTACCAAAAAAGGTTCATACACCATGGCAAAAGTCAAGAATCTCCTGTTAGAAAGAAGGAAACTTATAAGTTCTCCTACTACTATCAGTGATCTGAAGCAAGAGATTAAAAATCTCAAAGAGGACATTCATCATTTAAAGGAAAAGAATGTCACTATAGAAATTAGACTTGATAATATCGAAAGTCTAAAGGAGCTGGGTAATATCTCAGAATCATCTTCCTATGAAGAAGATAGTAAAGATATTGATTTTCTTAAAACCCTTAATTTTGGTAATAATAAAGAAGATTTTTTACAAAGCTTGAAAGCTATCACTTTCCAAAAGTTTTATACTAAGATTACTCTTCTTATAGATTATAACTACAAAAAAGAATTTACTGCTCTTATAGACAGTGCTGCTGATTTAAATTGCATTCAGGAAGGACTTATTCCTTCAAGATATTTTCATAAGCTCATAGCCTCAGATCAGCAAATGGTAGTAAAATGATTATTGAATATCAATTGCCCAAAGCTTTCATATGCAAAGGAAAAAATTGTATTCCTCAAAGTTTTGTCTTAGTAAAAGATATTACTAACCAAATTATTTTAGGAGTTCCTTTTATAAATGATATTTTTCCCCTTACTTATTGGGATAATTAAAAAATCATTGCAACCTGGAATGAAAAACCTTTTATATTAGAGTTTATTACAAAACCTTTTACAAGGATGATAAATGAATTATCTTCGAGATTAATTTTAAAAAATAATCAAGTCAGTTTTATAAAAGGAGAAATTAATAGCATTGAGATTGATAATATTCTTCAAAATCCTAAATTACAGGATAAGATTATCATTCTAATGAATCAGTTCTCCCTTCATATTTGTGGAGATCAACCAAATGCTTTCTGGAATAGGAAAAAGTATGTTGTTAGCCTCCCATATGAGGATAATTTTATTGAGGATAATATTCCTACAAAAGAAAGACCTTGCCAGATGAATTCTGATTATCTGGAATTATGCAAAAAAGAAATTTACTCTTTGCTTCAAAAGGGCCTTATAAGGCATTCTAAGTCTCTGTGGTCTTGTACAACCTTCTATGTTAATAAATATGCTGAACAAGAAAGAGGTGTGCCCAGGTTGGTAATAAATTATAAACCTCTTAATAAAGCTTTGAAATGGATTAGGTACCCTATCCCTAATAAGAAAGATTTATTAGATAGAGTTTATGATGCAATTATATTTTTCAAATTTGATTTAAAATCAGGTTATTGGCAGATTCAGATAGCTGAGTCAGACAGATATAAAACAGCTTTTAATGTCCCTATGGGACAATATGAATGGAACGTTATGACCTTTAGCTTAAAAAACGCTCCTTGTGAATTTCAAAAGATCGTGAATGATATTTTCATACCTTACAGTAATTTTATAATAGTTTATATAGATGATATTCTTGTATTTTCCAAAAATGTGGAAACTCATTTTAAACACCTTGATTTGTTTAAAAAAATTATTATCCAAAATGGCTTAGTTATTTCTAGCCCTAAAATGGCTTGGTTTCAAACTAATGTAAGATTTTTGGGACATAATATTGAAAGAGGTAACATTATCCCCATTAATAGAAGTATTGAATTTGCGTCCAAGTTCCCTAATATTCTAACTAATAAAACTCGGTTACAGAGAGTTCTTGGTAGTCTTAACTATGTTGCTCCTTTTATAAAGGATTTAGCCAAGGATAGTGCTATTCTATATGACAGGCTAAAAGCTAATCCTAAAGCTTGGTCTGATGATCATACTGAAGCGATTAAGAAGGTTAAAGCAAAGGTCTCAGAACCCCCTCTCTCTTGATCCCTCTCTCTCTCTAGTATTGTAATACTTTCTTTGTAAATTTTCAAGTTTGAATAATAAAAGCTTTCAGCTTGGACTGTACATCATCGTGTGTGAAGAGTTCTACTGCAGGTACAATTTAATTCTTGTATTTCTTTATGTGCTTAGCCTAAATGATAGGCTAGACTAATTGTGTTGAACTATAACATACTAAGTTACTATAAGAAATGACGATTATGTCTATTGTTAAAACATATTGAACAGTTCTACTAAGGTCAATTCCAAGTAATCCAGGCAGGTTCTTGAAAGACTGTCGAAGGAATCCGTTGAATTACCCATTAGCCAGGAGGGCGTTAGGGCGGACTCGGATAGGAGAAGCTTTCATTAATTATTGCCAGAATTTATAATAATATTATTATTATTATTATAATCTGATAGCAATAAGTAAATCATATAGCAGTAAGTATAATATGATAGCACTAAGTAAATCATATAGCAGTAAGTAAATCATATAGCAGTAAGTAAATCATCGACAATCACACTAAAATGAATAAACTTATGTGAAAAAAAAAACAATTTTTTGTTATGTGGGGCAGGGCAGGTCGAAATCAGAAAAATTTACCAGCGGGGCGGGGCGGATTAAATTATTGCGGGGTAAGGGTTGAGCACCACCCCATTGCTATACTTAACTATAAGATATAAACCTCGGCAAATACCATAATTTAGCTGTGAAAAGGAGAGATAATTTAAGAGTTGAATCACATATTATATACATTTGGAATTTACAGATATCTTCAAAGCTCGCAAGATGTAAATGAATGCATGAGATTCCTATGTTCCATACTGTTTACCCATGGGAATATAATACATCTATCGGTAGCATTTATCTACTACACCCAATGAGTCTGATATCAAGAGTTTATTATCTGCCAGCAACTAAATCACAACCTTAGCCTAAAATTTTATATAAAAATGTACAAATGAGGTGCGCGCATGCTTCAAAGTATTCTCAGCTCCCATCGGAAAAGGTATCACTGCCATCTTCACCTTTGGAGAGAGAGAAAGGAGCGATGGAAACATTGAATGTCCGTGAGCCTACTCTGTCAATATGCTTCATCTCGAAGTCACCCTCCTGTATAGTAATAGACAATCACACATGATGCATTTTAGAAATGGAAGGAACAAAGAAATAAGAGAAGGGCACCGAGAGTTTGCGTGGAGTCTCCAAAATACTTTCCACCTGTATCGATACGACATAGGTGTAGGTGTGGGATCCACACCACATCTTGGGTGCTTTGGCTACATGTATGACTGAGAAATACAAATTGATTGAGTAATTTGATTTGGTTTTGTAGGTTTACATATATATATATATATATATTATGTAGTTATATAAAGTATGAGAATGTTATGCTATTACACGAGATGTCTAATGAATACAATATTAGGCATTTATAAAGAACTAAATTTACCAGCTTTTGTTCAATAACTTCAATTTATCAAAATATATACTTTATATGTCATAATATACATTTATTGGCCTTATCTAGCACCCTTATCCTAACCCCCGAATCCTAAAAGTTATGCGATGAAGAGTCTGACCTCTAGATCCGCACCCGTATTGGGTACCCACACCCGAGTCTGAGCAACATAGCCCAGAAGGCAAGGAATTCCTGAAACAGAACAATTGACACCTATTGACTGCACATGAAGGTCAAAAAGAAGACACAAAGACACCTTGCAAGTTTTGTCGCCCTCAAAGCCCAACCAGTAAATGCATTTTTTATTTGCCAGAACATAAGAAGGATCTAATAGTATACCCTCCAAAATATTAGGAGTATCAGTCTATAAGAAGTTATCAAAGGACAAAATTGAGTAGATTCTGCTAGTTTTCAACTACTTGGCACCTCAGAAAACCCTTCCCTTTAACATCTGCCATTCCAAATTAAATCCTGATAACCATGCAATTGAATTTTTTCTCTTCCCAGTTCCAAATATTGATCTTCAATTTAAACAAGTGTATCAAATAAAACCTAATTCAGAAAAAGTAATAAACAGAAATATGACAATTAGTGTAGGTAAGCTATGTAAAGCTAATATGACAATCAACAATTTGTGAAGAAAAATAGTTTGAAAATTCAGCAGTTAGCAATTGTTTTACAGAATGCATAGTAGGTCCTGATTTTATAAGATAGAATGTACTAAATTCATATTCTTATTGTTTTCTCAGTGCTAACTTCCTCCTCTAGAGTTGAAGAGAAGGAACAGAAGAGCGTGTGTGTGCGTGTGCGCGCGTATGCGCGCATTTGTGCGTAGGATAAGCAAATCATGACTTTCTTCTTCCTCATGATGGACCTATAAGAGGGAGTACATGTCAAGTATCAGTTTTTTAGTCATATCTTCAATATTCTGTATGTACAATGCAACTTTGATAGTAAAATTTCATTTCAGCTGGAGACTACATTCAGATGTTTGGGGCAGTGTAAGTGATCAAATGGTAGTAACTAATATCAGGGGAGAAAACTTTGCACAGAGTTCTACTACTATTAATGGGTTACTTCAAGTGTGTGTGAGTGGTATAGATAAAGCATGCACAAGTGCTAGCCTGAGTTCAACTGAAATGGTTCCAATTTGTTTCATTTGTATTATTGCATACGACTCTATTATAAACTGTAAGACTTAATCGTACAGCTACACTTGAGGGCATAATCTAAACCTCTGAAAACTGCTATCCTTCATTGCTTTATTTTCCTGGAATATTAGGGGGCCAAACGCCCTCTAAGAAATTAGAGCCCAGAGTCATATACAGTCACAGAACAATGATATCTTTGTGAGTGGGTGCAATTACATATTGATCTCAGCATTAAAATGCCACAGAAAAACGAAAATGAGGAAGAAGTAGCATTTCATGAAGGAAAGATCAGGGAAAACAAATTAGTTTCTTACCATTCTTCCACTTGGAGTTCCTAATGGGCATGCAGATGAGTATTCAAAAGCAGTGTTGGGAAGTACCACCGGTTGTTCACCAATTACACCAATTCCCCTGTCAGAATAAATGATAACAATGTTTAGAAAAGAATCAAATGGCCAGCAAATGGACTGATGATAACATAAAGTTACAAAAACGAGGACATGTATAAATTTAACATAAACAATATTGTCTACCACAACTGTGCCAAAACAGCAAAGTTAGCAACTCACCAGACATTTTCCGTTTTTCCATTAGCATCAGTGATGATCCAGTGCCTTCTAAGAAGTTGAACAGGACGATCTGAGTTGTTGGTAATTCTTATTCTATAAGCAAAAAAATAAAGGCCTTTTGAAGGTTGACTTCGACCTTCTATGTACACACTTCTAACTTGAACCCTGATTCCCTAGACAAAGCAATGTTGAGCAGATATTTCAGACAGTGCAGAACTGCTCAGCTTCAACAAACTTAGGTAAAGTCTCCTTATGAGCTGTTTAGGCTTCAAACAAATTATCGTGATGTCTGATTATGAGCTGATAATAAAAACTAACCATCAATCAATCATATGAAAAACTGATAGGAGTCGGGCCAACCCTTTATTTAGACCCTAAAAACTTATATTACAGTGTTTAGGCCGATAGATTTAATGTGAAAGAAATAAAAATAAAAAAATAAAAAATAAAAAATTTGAAACTGGTAATTTCTCCTATTTCTTTCTCTCCGTACAGTCCACCAGATGCGAGGAGGTATTACTCTCCAGCACCTTTTCTGAGTTTTACTCCCACCCTTCCTAATCCAGCAACTAAGATCTGAGGTATGCTTTGGCATGATCCATCTTGTATTAGTTTGGTTGAGGAATATTTCCCAAAGTTAGGCAGTAAACTCACAATGAAGAAACAGATATTAGTTGGTTTCCACTGTTTTGTTGCAAAGAAAGCATCTGGGAAGTGAGAACTAACTGTATCCCTTTCTTCGGTAATACTTCTTGAGTGCGACAAGCTTTCTTTATCACTAACCATGAGAAGCATTTCATATTAGCGCATACTAAGCTTTTCCAAGTGAGATTCCATCTGTATTGTGGTCTTCTAGATACACCTTGCATCCATATCCTGTATGCATTGCTCCTCGCTATGCATGCATAAAACCCTATCTGATTCTGCTGTGGTACCATTAGAACCTCCTAGTTTCTCAAGTAGTGAAGCCACCTTTTCCACTTCCCAATTGTTTAGCATTCTTTTAAAGGAAAGATCCCATCCTTGAGGTGTCAAACGTTCACATACTGTTAGAAATTATGAACAGATCTGGAAATGATTCCATCAAAGGAGTTTGGTTACTTCATCCTTCTTTCTAGAATTTAATTTTGTGCCCACCTTGACCATCAGATTTGATTCCAGCAGTGCCACAAAGCCCTGTACTGATAGTTCTCCATACCCCAACTCCAAAAGGTTCAGTGACTCTTTCTGTGCATCAGGGGCTCAGCTCACCAAACTTTGCCACGATCACTTTCTTCATGAGGACATCTTTTTTTTGAAACTGTAAAAGAAAAAAAAAAAAAAAAAAGTTTGTTTTGTAGTCTTAGATTTCTGATTCCCAATCCACCCCTTTGCTAAGTATTACTGTATCCCACTTCACCAAACAATACCCCTCCCCTTCTTTGCAGCCTTGCCATAGAAATTTTCTCCTTAGCTTGTCAAATTTGTCACAATTATGGATGAATTAGGAAACAAGGGCATCACATTTGTAAGAAAGGAGTCTAGCATATAGTTGATCAGAGTAAAGTTTCCCCCAAGTGATAAGTATTGGGCCTTCCACCATGCTAGCTTCTTCTTAGTTTTTCCTAGTATACCATCCCAGATCTCGAGTGCCTTATGCTTCCTACCTAATGGCATGCCAAGATAAATTGTTGGCAAATTCTCCACTACGCAGCCTAGTATGCTTGCAGGTTCTTTAATATGAGGGACTTCTTTGACAGGGAATAGACTGTTTTTACTCCAGTTAACCCTCAACCCAGCAACAACTTCAAAGACTATCAACATTAATCTAATATAACAGATCTGTTCAGCCTTTGGTTCACAAAAGATGACAGCGTCGTTTGCATAAAGAAGATGGGTAATCTCCATTTCCTCCCAACTTCTTCCACTAATTTGAAATCCCTTGAACCATCTGTTATGTAGTGCAACGGTCATCATGCCATCAAAACCTTTCATTGCCAGAATAAACAGGAAATGAGATAGAGCATCACCCTGTCTCAACCCCCTCTCACATGGAGAGTAAAAAATCCACAGGTTCTCCATTTACGAGAACATAGAATCTTACAGTTTTAATACAACACTCAATCTAGCTCAACCAATTACTGTCAAATCCCGTCTGTCTAAGGATACTTAATAAGAATTCCAAAAATACATGGCCATTGGCTTTCTAAATATCAAGTTTGCACATTACCCCAGGTTCCACACCTCTCGTTCTTGAATCTACACATTCACGGGCTATGAGTATAGCATCAATAACCTGTCCCCCTTTAATGAAATCCATATGATGTTTGTTCATCACTTTGCTCACCACTTTCTTCAGCCTTTCTGCCAGTAGTTTTGCAATAATTTCGTCAACTCCACCTACCAGATTTATTGGTCTGTAATCTTACAGATCAACTGCACCTATTTTATTAGGGATCAAAGCTTTAATGGTGGCATTGAAGCTTCTTTCAAAAACTTGGTTGGAGTGAAAGAACTGTACAGTTGTTATGATATCTTCCTTCAACATTTCCCACAAAAGAAAGAAAACCATTGGAACTCCATCTGGTCCAGCAGCTTTCTCCATAGCACAGAATTTTAATACAAGTAAGAATCTCCTCCTCCTCAAATTGTCTTTGTAGTCATTCCTGTTCTTCACTAGATATCACTGATGTATCACGTCGATGCAGCTCTGGTCTCCAAGATTTAGTTTCTTTGTACAGGTGTTTGTAAGAATTCTGAGCAATTTCCTTGATATCCTTAGGATTAGTAATAGTGACCCCATCTACTTCTAAAACATTAATGGAATTAATTCCCTTATCAGCAGTAGCAATTCTGTGAAAAAATTTAGTGTTGTTATCACCATATTTCACCCATTGTAACCTGGACTTCTTCCATGCTATTTCTTCATTTTTTGCCACCTCCTCAAATTCCAAGGCCAAATTTTGTTTTCTCAAGTAACTCATTATCAGCGAGAGTTCTTTGTTCTTGAATAGCTTTCAATCTACAAATCTTATAAGTCATTATCAGTGAGAGTTCTTTGTTCTTGAATAGCTTCCAATCTACAAATCTTATTAAGAATGTTCACCTTCCTCTGCTTCCAATTTTCTCAGTTATTCTTGCTCCACTCCTTTAGCTTTGTTTGTAACAGTTTCAGCGTCTCAGCTAAAACAAGTACAGGTCTACCATTAACATTGAAGGAACCCCACAATCCATTCACTTTGTCTTTGATTTCTTCAACTTCCAATCACCAAGCTTCAAACATGAAGTAAGATTTCTTCAATTCCCATCCCCATAAGTTAACAGAATAGAATTGTGAACTGATCCTATTCTTTAGGCAAAAGCCAAAAGGCTCTGTTTGATGTGACTAAATTCCTCGTCCAATTGTGCAAAATGAAGGAATTTGTCTATCCTAGAAGGACTCCAGTGATTATCCCTCCTCCTCCAAGTGTAAGATCCTCCAATAAAGGAGGATCAACCAGTTCTAGATTTTCAATGCAAGAAGAGAACTCCGCAATAGCACCATTTATCCTGTTGCAATATGTTCTTTCTACAGAATATCTGATGAAACTGAAATGCCCACAAGCCATTCAGAGTCCACTAAAGTATTTTTTGATAATGGTCAGTTCTTCCCATAGCCCATTCCTGATCTCTCTAGCAATTTGCAAATACTGCATTGAGATGCCAGCTAAAATCAACAATGATTCCGGAGAACCTCCTAGTGATACGTTGAGTTCTACACCTACCAATTCTCCTCTCCAAACTATCTTATCCCAAAGAATTAGAATTCCTCCAGTACTCCCAACTTCCTCCTTATGAAATTTCTTCATTCTCCAACCCACATTCATCCCCTATATTTTTCAAGTTCTCCATATTCCATAACTGAAGAGGGAGACTAAGAGCTCTAACCCAAAACCAGACGAAGAAAGTGTCTTCAAGGAATCTACCTTTGTTGGCGACCACCAATCCACCTTTAGGTAAGAGCCTTGTCTTTACCATTCACCCATGAGAGCATGTTGAATCCCTTACCTTGACTAGAACTCAAACAGGAACTGAAATTCATTCATGTCGTAGACTTGTGTGTTCAAAGCTCCCTTCCATGAGTGTTGAGCCTCACTACGTACATCATTTCAAGTGGGTATCTCATCACACTCGCATGATATGCCAACTACGCATCTTTGCAGTAACTTGTTGGTTTCTTTGTTGGGATTTGTATTTAGCATCTTTCCTTCCTTGACATTCTCGTTCCCTTGTTGGCTCCATCTACTTTGGTTGAAAGCTTCTATGTAATTTCCTTTTCCTGTGAAAGTTTTAGTTTTCTCCCCAACTGTAACAAATGTCCTTATTGTTCACTTTTCAGTTGATGAATTCCTCCATCTTTGAAGCTATATTTCCCCAACCTTCATTAAAGTTGTTTTCTAGTGTAATAATGATTGACATGCTCTGCCCTTTAACTGTACGAACTAAAATGAATCAACCATATTAATTGAACTTTTGGGTACAATAAATAATGGTAGAGAGATCCCTGCATCTCCAGGATTTGAAATTCTCCCTCTGTTGGTTGGAGCTTCCTATAGCCTTACTCAACACTTGCTGTTAGGTTTGGTCACATTCAAACTCTCATGTTTTTCTCTCTCCACCTCACAACCAGCCTTCTTCTTTATTCTGACACCTCAGAAATTCTAAGGCCAAAGCAGACCATACCTAACAGATCATGAGAAGTTGATTAAAGTTTTGCAGCAAAACTTTGGGATTTATGGACGCCATCTACAGGCCGTAAAAGGAACCACGGACCATAGATTATGTCGTAAATCAACTTCAGAGACTTGGTTTTCAATTTGAGTTTTCAAGAGCTCAAATCACGGGTCGTAGATCAAACTACGGAACGTGGATTGAACTCTTGGAATGATGTGCAGGAAAACATATCTACTATTTCTACTTCCTAGCATTTACAGATCCGTTCTACGGACCTGATGGAACCACTGGCCATAGAATGGTCTCATAGTTTGAACTTTAAAGATTGTTAATATTGATTGGTTTCATGGACGGCATTTACAGACCCTGGATGGAACCACAGACTGTAGGTGACCTTCGTGGATTGCTCCGATAGTTTTCCTTTCAGAGTTGTTTTAGTCTTTTCGCACTCTTTTAACTCCTAAACTATGTTGTTTTGGCCTATTCTAAGTGGGTTAAATGGGATTCAGTCAATCCAAACTCCCTTAACACTCTCCTAACAAAGACAAAGAAGAGCACACTTGCTCAGCACCCTCCTTCTGAACGAGAGCTTGGCACTTTATACCAAGTCAAACCATCTTCCGGACTCTGCAATAGTTTCTGTGATGTCATAGGATTTACCACTATATCTGAAATAGAGTCTGTTCTACATGATTAAGATGGATCCCCTGAAAAGAGGTTAGTATCACAAAAGGAGAAGAAAGGTTGTAAAATTATCACAGAAGGTGATAGCTTAGGAGGAAGGATCAATAAAAGATGTTTTCCGGCAGAAAAGCCACCGGAGAATGTGATTTCTCTTTCCTAAATGTAGGAGAAAGAAAACCTTGGAGACTGTGCCTGAGAGCATTTTCTTACACTTATTGTTTTGTTGGTTACTCTTCCATGTGTATCTCAAGTCACATAAGCACATTGAGGGAACGATCTAGAAAGATTGAGATAATCAGGCTTATATAGCATTTTAAAAGTTTCTTAATTAAGACCCAACAAAGGAAGGTCTTAAACAACATCTGCATTATATGTAGCATATCTTTTCTTTTCTTTTGTAGGGGAAAAGGGGTCCAGAAACTGTTAAGAGGCGTAACAACAGCCGGTGTGCATGAATATGTGGAACATAATGAGCACTTGTATGAAAAATCCAATCATTTTGTTCTTCCCCACATTTTTGTCCTTTAAGAATAGAAAGCCACTTATGTGAAAATTCATTATTCAAAACAGCTCCATAACTAGCAATGCAAAATATTTTGGTAAAGTATCAATCCAACTGGTAATAGAAAGTGAAATAGAAGCATGACAATTCCAGATTAAATACATACCAGTGTTGTTGCCTCACTTGAACATTTCAAGAGAGAATGCGGAGCAATATCCTTTAACTCATCGCGGTACCTTGCTGCATCCTGGGAAGACATAGAGAGAGAAAGGGTGAAACTGAGATGATGAGTAGCTGATGTAGAACTAGCAGAGAGATGAGGAAGTTTAAACAATTCTACCTCAAACCTCTCTTGTGCAATAGCCTCTTTGACCAATCTCTGAAGTCGCAAAACAGGCTCTTGGTCCTCAAATATTTTCAAAGAATCACGAAGTCTGGCTGCCTCTTTGTAGTCCTACATATATATATTTATATATATATACAAGTGAGGATGTGAAGGAAGAAAAGAAACAGTATTAATAATGCATTTTTAAAAGAGTGGTGACCTCAGATTTGGCGGCGACATCCATTTGCTGTTTCAAAAGAGCATAGGTCTGGCTACGGGAAAGGAAGGAACTCTGACTGGGAGTAGAACCATCAGAAACACACGCCATAATTTTAACATTTCCCATCTGAATCTGTTGCCTACTTACATCTCTTATCGGCCATGACAATTTCATTCCAACATTTAAAGTAAAACTACTCATTCTTCCTTCCTTGCTTCCTTCACAACAGTATCCTTTTCCTCAATCAATACTCTATCTCTATCTCTTCCCAATTAAATTATGTCCATTCCTTCTCCTTCTCCAATGTCGGAATTTACGCCCTGCTATTCAATTGGATAAATATCATTTCTTAACTTATTGGCCACAAAATACACCTTTATTACCCTTATCACAAACTACTAATTTAATACTCTTCTCATTTAATATGTGGCACATTCTCATTAGTTAGAAAATATAATTAATCAAAACTAATTTGATCCCACCCAAATCAGGATCCACCCATCAAACCACTCGACCGAATCTAAAACCTCATTATTCTAAAGGGGGAGACCCATCAACTTAATCGATAACTAATTTTCTTGAAGTTGCGTCTTCTTCTTTCTCTTTTATAACTAATGCTCTTGAAGTTGTGGTCTTCTTCATCCTCTCTTATACCCCATTGGAAATTATATCAACTGCATCTAGAATTGCAAGTGATGTACCTACGTTATGTCTGATCAAAGTTGTGAAGACCTCTTCATGCTTATAGTCCTCAGCCAATCTTTTTCACTTCTTTGATTATCTATAATAAAAAAAAAAAACTGTCAGACTCTTTAGCTTCATTAAGGACAATATACAAATTAATTCATGTTTATGAGCTTCTTGGCCTAATTAGGACATAAAAAATTAATTGTATATTGTTAGAAAGAGAGAGATAGCAAAAAGGTCAGTTGTCATATTTTTTTAATCGCTTTGCCCTTTTAGAATAATGAGATATTTAGTGGGTCGGATGATATAGTGGGTGGATTCAAGTTTGGGTTGGATCAAATTAGTTTTTTCTAACGAATCAGAATGTGCCACATATTAAATAAAAAGGCTAATTAATCCAACTAATGAGGTTGTTTGCAATAAGGATGATAAAGAGCCATAAAGGTTGACGTCAAGCGTATTTTGTGGCCAATAGGTCAATGACGGATAATTTTGTACCAATTCCAGTCGTTTAAGGGTATTTTAGGCCCTTTTCCGAAAAGAAAATATCTAATGAACAATTAACCAAAATAAAGAGTAGATTTATATGAAATCAATCTAGAGGTCTGAATTCGCTTGCAATCATGTTAAGTAATCACTTGATCTGGCTCTATTTTCTATTGTGAAAATAAGTAAAGATGTACTTATTGAGTATCATGTCAATAACTCTAAAACTATTTGACTATTTCTAACGCTTATAAATTTATGGTCCTCATTCGATAGTGAACTGCATGTATATTTCTTCTGTATCAACTAAGAAAGACTGACGAGTATATTTCTATTCACGTTAGCGAATCGATCTCCCCTCCCTATGAAGTTCATGATCAATATTTACTTTCTCTTATTACACTCGCAAAATTTCTCTTTCGAGTCTAATTTATGATTCATAAATAATATTTGAATAGAGATCAAGCTAATAAATAATTAATCTCAAGAAAGAAGTAAATACCCAGACGAGTCATAGCACAATGATAACTATCTTAGCAAGTAAATTCTAGTTCATACTCACGTAGACATGGAGGAATTACAACAAAACATTCAAATAAAACCATAAAAAAAATAGAGAGAAAAATATAAAACCAAAATTATTATGCCTTCTCAGGATGGTCCTAGATCTTGTTAGGTAAAAGTCATCTTCCAAAACATTTTTAAGAACTATTTATAGAAGTAGAAAAATTCTCAGATGAAATAAACAAATTTAAAATAAATTGGAAAAATTATAATTGAATTGCATTGCCGCGAAGCGGTGGGTATCGTTGGGCATCATGCGACATGCCTTTTGGCCAATAACAAATTTTGCTAGCTGTTTTTTGTAATTCTTGCCTTCATGATTTGTCAAGTGTCCATGTAAGTGTTCTCATTGTAATTGTAATGTCTTGTTGTATATATATTTGATTGTATGTAAACATTAATATAATATTGTATTTAATTCATTAAGTTGTCTGCTTCATCTACTTATATGATTTTTCATCTTTTATTCGTTTTGCTCCAAATCTCTTTAATTTCCCGTTGTTTTAATTATACACATCAAAATACCTAACACAAGCATAATTCATAAATTTAATGCTCAAAGAGATAATAAAAAAAATATCTAAAGATACAATTTTTTTGGCATCACATCACTAATCAGCCTCGAAATCAGGGATGACCTATGGACACATAAAGTTCTCAAGTAAAATCTCAAGTAGCCTTTTCTTTTAAAATCTAGACAAGCCTTCTTGTAAGTTTATTCAAGATATTTTCCCTATAAATAAACATTTGCACATGAGTAGCAGATATCTCATATTTCTCGCTTGTAACAAGTTATCTCAAGTTCTATTGAGATATTGAGTCATACTTCCCTAAGGTATTGGGAAGTTAATAAGTGGTAGATTTTCACTCATTTGAGACATTTCTAGTTCAACAAGTGTCTTGAATGCCTAATTATGTCCTATTCTGATGATATTTTGATGTTTTGCAGCTATGAACACTAAATGATAAGGCAAAGATGAATACATGAAAAAGAGGCCAAAAACATTGAAAGAAGTATAAACTCTCAACTAGTAGTCGTTGATACATCCAAACTTACACTTCAATTAAGAAGTATAAACAGTCGAAGTCAATTTATAGAACTCAATGTGAGTTGAGGTCGATTCCACAGAGAATTTCTTTACATAAATGATTTCACTGTCACGTTTATTCAAATGTCGGTATTACTTCCTAGAGAAAATAATTTTAGAATGTAAATTGGGTTTAGTTGTAAGATCAGAGTAACCAATAGTGTTGAGATAATCAGATACAGAACAATTAACAAAGTATTGATTTTAAGGTTGTATTAATGAATGAATGAAATCAGGGTTGTGTTTTCCATGACGTTACATCTAGTTTTTATTCATGAACGAGTTTCAGGTAATTCAGTCTTTGCAACTTACAAACAAATTAAGTGTATCTAACACTTCTCAGTCTTGTTGGATAACTTTTCACTCAAATCCTCTTGGTATTAGAGTGTTAACAAATTTTACCCTCGGGTATAATGATGTTGAAGTTCTCTTCTCTCGAACACGAAATTTAACTCCATTTCATCAGACTAACTCAACTTTTTCCAAACTATCAATTTTCTCTCGAATAATTTATAGATATAGGCTAATTCTAACACGTGCACTCATTAGAACAAATTAATAACGAAAGCTGAGTTATATATTGCAAATATGAATCACATTCTACTCGTATTACGAATCCACACTTAGAGTACAGTCATAGTTCCCACAACCCCTAGTTGTGGTGTTTAGCCACCCATGCTTTCAATCAAACAAGAAAATATGGGTAATGATTGCATTAGAAGAAATCACTTACAACGATTTGCAGAGAACAAAATGATATTCAAAAACCAAAGCAAATTTAATTATCAATTCAATGCTAATAGATCAAAAACCAAAGTTAGAATATTTAGAAAGTAGTCGCTAGTTCTAGATATGACGAGATAAAAACAAATTACGACCTAATAAATTCAAAAAATCAGTCGAAAAAGAGTCCTACTCGAAGTAGGACTAAAATGTCGGGCATCTTCATGGCAGTACGACGACCCGTCAAGGGATTCACGATTCGTGAAGCCCTCCATGGTCATTACTTAATGAATCTTCAAACACACCTCTTAAAGTCTTGTACACTGGGACCCCACCATGGGCGACACCACGTACCGTTACAATGACCACGGTTCGTCTGGGTTACTGTGGTCTTCACTTGGCCAACTCAAACTTCAACTTCTCATGGTCTTCTCACTAGTTCAACTCTACGAGCACCATCACGGCCCTTCATGGGGATCACGGTCCATCAAGGCATCCATGGTACTTACTTAGCATTGCCAAAGCTTATCTTCTTAAAGCCTTGTCACTGGAAATCCATTACGATTGCCATCACAGACTATTGTGAAGACCATGGTCCGTGAGGCCTTCCATGGTCTTTACTTGGTCAAAATCAACTTTCACTCTGCACAGGCCTGTTTAGTGGGCTTTCTTCACGAGCTTTAGGACAGACCTTGAGAGAGACCACGGCCTGTCTTGAGCACCGTGGTACTTGTTCTAGCCAGCATTTTCTTCTTTTCTTTTCTCTTTCATGTCCACATGTTTTACCTATACAAACATCACCAAACACATCATATCTACATAAATATAGTAGATTCTCACATTAATCCTTAGTTTATAGCATTAAATGTGCTAAGATCTCACGACACATCATTCGCCTAACCAAAAGAGCAGATTGCCCAATACTCTTGACCTCATCCAAAGTGACAGTGTACACAATTGAAAATATTCAAGACAGGTCGAGGGACTGAAGAAGAAATGGTGATTCGTCGAAGCTGAAAGGGTGAATTAGTATACCATCGGCGAAAATTATAGAATTATGTGCAAAGAATGAAAGCTGAAAGGGTGAACAAGGTGTTACTCGATGATCTGCCGAATGTGAAAGGTAGACTCAATTGAGTTTGCGAACTGAGGTTCAGACACTTGAAGCCTGAAAAAAAATAAAGGGTGAGCTAAGGAACAAATGGTGATCTGTCAAACATATTTGGCGAGCCCGACTAATGTCGCCGAGTTAATCACACATTGAATTTGAGAAGCTATAAATAATCCAGAAGAGAGAGAAAATGGAGGAATTTTTGGTATTACTGTTTGATTATCAGTTTAAGTGATAATTTTGAGAGAATTAGTCTTTTTATTCTTAGTTTTTGGGGTTTTTAGAACAACCTTGTAATTGACAATTCAAGTTCACATTGAAGTGGGTTTTGAAGATTAATGCTTAATTTCACTTCTTCAATGGATGAAATCACCATGGGTATACTCTCTTTTCCTCTTATGATGCTTGACTAAAATCCCAAATCTAGGGGTGTGATTATGGGGATGGATGTTGATTTATTGTAGTGAGGTTTGTGTCTTTCTCTTTTTTATTGCTATAGATTCATGGATTTAAGCTAATTAGCATGGGGTTAATTAATTGGTTAAGGCCGCAAACTTAATCCTAGTCTACATCTTCAATTGATGCTCGAAAGAGATTAATTGAGGTGAGTAATTAGTTTAATGCATGCAATTCAGATTTGTTTACTATAGTTTGCTTGAAAGAGAAATTGTGATTCAATTCTAGTTGCCAAATCTGCTCAAAAGAGAGATTCTAGTAAGGTATTGGGTTGATTTGTGATTCACATAGATGAGATCGAAAGGAGATTCTATGATTTAAATAAGATTAGTGTTATATAAGATTACCTAGCCTTTCAATGATTATTTAGCAATAATGAGCAAAAACAATGACCCCTACTTGACATCAATACCAATTTCCACAACCCCTAGATTGTCTTTTAATTGTTGAAAATCCAAATTTTAGTTTAATTGTATTACTTGATATCAAAATTCTTTTCGTAAATTTGGTGGAATCATCCACCCATATCTTTTAATTGCTAAAAATAAATTAATTTACATTCTTAATTTCCTAATTGAATTCCTTGCATGATATCACTCTCTGTGGGATTCAATCTAGAATCTTGTTGGGTATTTTTATTGACAACGACCACTTATTCTCTTACTTGTCTTGAAAATTATTTGAGCGTTATCAGAAGCCCAACAACAAAGTCCATAGCCAAGTTTCTGATGTTCATACTTTATCACAAAA